TGGATGTCTTTGGAGTCCAACGACCCCGGTCGGAGCTCACGCAGGACGCAGAGGAGATCAAAAGACTCTTCGCAAGATCATACGTTGGGTTTCACCTTCAACGTGACCTTTTTGAGATCCCATCATGAAGCCACAAAAAGGCCGGTCACAAAGGTCACAAACAGAGAGGGCAAAGAGGTCACGAACGATCCAGGTCCTAGTATGGTTCCTTAAACCACATCTTTGGCTTAGCTCAACACTACCCACAAATTTGGCTCATGGTGTGCTATTAGGTTGGAGGCCATCGATAGTAGGTTGGAGACCATCGCACCCATCCCTAGTAGGTTGGAGGCCATCGCTCCCTCAAGCTTGGTTCATCGTCCTTCGCCCTCGGTTTTTCCACGTTCTTTTGGCATGTTGGCCGCTAGCGGCCCATGGCCGGCCCTCATGGCTGTCAGGGACCGAGGGACCTCGCAGCCTTTCTCGGTGGGGGATCCGCTTGAAATCGGGCCCTGGGCGATTTGGGGGGGGCTGGACGAGGTCGTTGGTCAAACTCAAGTCTTACATTGTGCATTGCATTAAATTAAATTAATAGCTTTTTAACTACTAGTAAGGCACTTGTTACTACTAGCGTGGCACCTGTTACTACAGTTTGGAAAAAACCCTATCGTCCCTATAGAGGATGTTGGCCGACGGGACTCGTGTCTTTTTACATGGTCCTGCAGCGCCTTCCAAGGTCGTCATGTTGGAGCTGGCATACAGTAGGTTGAAGAAAATTCACAAATACATTGCAGGGCAACATCTTTTAGGTGGTATTTGTTTGTCCTTTCTGTTTGTTGCTTGCCAGTAGCTCACTTGCCATGCAAAGCCACTAGGTTTGGATGAAGACGCGATACAGGCCACAACAGGCTCTACGTAGGTGTGGCATGCAAAGGTCGGTCTACTGGGGATGTTCCAACAGAAAATGGAAAACAGACTCATTCACTGCACCACTGGCTGCTTTCTTGAAGCTGACAAGATGGCCATGAAAACGTCTTTCAAACATGGAAGCCCACTGGTTGGGGCAACTCTGCATGTGGACGGTGTTTCCAGGATTTCTGAGACATGAATCTCTTCTTGGTATCGTTGATGCTTGTGGGTAACATATTATGGACTTCCAGGTGCGTACGATCTAGGGCAGCTTTTGTAAGATAGGTAATGTTCCATCGCGTATATAATATATATTATATGGACACTATCTTGGGCATATTAGGGCGTCTTCCCTGAGAAAATGCATTGGCAATCCATGGTTTAATGATGTTTGATGGTTTGTTTGTGCGAAGAATGAAGTCCAAGTTGGAAGCTAAATTGTTTCTGTCGCCGGTTCCTGCGTAGCTGCCAGCTCCAGACATAGAACACATGTGTTGGCAAATCAGAACAGAAATCTACAAAGTCTCTAAAAGCGCGACACGGTCGCTTAGCAACGATGTCAAGAAATGCGGAAGCAGAACTCGTCGGAACTTTTATGATTTCTGCATCTCTTCTGAGTTTGCTATCCTAAGCATCTAAGCACCCGGTTGTTTTGTTAATACCACAGCTTCAGCAAATTCCATCGTTCCATATTTCAGTTCTTCTTGAGTGGCCAAGACTAGATAGACGAAGGAGGTGTAGGAGTCCAGCCTCACCGTAAGAACCCCAGAAATCCTTCCTGAGTGCTTGGAGAACGCTTTTCCCATGCAGATCGGGCGGGAAATAGACCAACCTGGACTCCAAAGAGTCTTTCCATCAGCCGCTCCCGGCGTTTTCGATCAGCACGCCTGTGCGATTCCCGCCGTGCTCGGTGCGCGGAGAGTGCGTTTGCGTGATGGCGGAGATCATGGAGATGAAGGTGAGACGAAGCAGCGGTTGGATCCGGACGAAGCAGTGATGCTCTGCTCCATCATCATGAGATCAGGTTTCCCCAAATTTGTGTTCGATGTTGATTTTTTTGCAACTGCTGGCATCTTGCTTGGGGCATTTGAGTCTCCCTGGAGCGGTGTTTGGAAGATTTGCGGAGCAGCTAGAATCGAGCTTTCCTTGCACAACAAGCATTCCGTATAGCCCATGTTGGTCGCTTCGGCTCCCCCAAGTCGGCCCCATTTCATTCCGCAGAGAACCCGTCCGAGTCGTCCGAGTCGTCCGAGCCGTCCAGGTCCGACCGATATGCGAGTCGACTCGGTGGCACTTGTTACTAATAGCTTCTTGTTACTACTAGTAAGGCACCT